GGGGGTTTAGGGCTTTAGGGCTGGTCTAGAGTCTGCAAACTTTGTGGCGTTAGGGTCTCGTTCTGGTAGTCCCACGGCTTCTCTTCCAAAAGTTGCTTCAAGCCTATGCCCATTGCGGCTAGGGAATCGTTTAGGTCCTCAGTCTTGAACTCTGGCTGACCTTCAGGGTTTAAGAAATATCTTAAAATCTCTTCAAGCTTTTTCAACAAAGGAGCCAGAAAGCAGCCCCCCCCCCCCCAACCAAACGGCGGCAGATCTCGAGGCTAAGTCGGCCTCTGACTACCTCACCAGCCTCAAGGAGCTGGGTTGGCTTTGGAGAGTTTTTGAGTCGTCGGCTAGGTGTCTTATGTTTGTTCCGGGGTCTAGAGGCAGTTGAAGGCCTTGGTTTAGGGTTTTGTAGGCTCTCTACAGGGGTTCAGGAGGGGCTCCGTAGGGCTGGGTGTTTGGGGGTTTGTTCGGGTTCTACCAAGAGGCCTTATGAGTGGGTTCCATAAGGGTTCATTTAGGGTTTATGGTTCTTCTAGGCCTTTGTCAGAGTTCCGTCAAGGGTTCTGTCAGGGTTTTTTCGGTTCCACAGCTTGTAATCCTAACCCCTAAACCCTAGAGAGACCTCGTCTGGCGGAGTCCGAGAGCGTAAACCCTGAATCCTAAACCCCTAAATTATGAAGTTGATGTGCCCTAATTTAGGGGTTTTTTGGGAGGGAAAAAACCCTAAATTGGGCACATCAACTTCTTCACCACGGTCTCGCAAGACTACCGGCGGGTTCAGGGTGTCGGGAGTAACCCTAAAAACCCCAAAGCCTTCAACCTCTGTTTCGGGCCCTAAACCAACATCCCTAAATCCTGATGCTTTCAGCCGACAAACCCCCCTGCTCTGAGCCCCAAGCCAGAGTTTCCCTGTTTTGCCGGAAAGACAACGGCAGGAGAAGGCCGCAGCAACCCTGGCAGACCTCAAGGAGGTTGGGTTCAGGGTGTTGGACTTTCGGGAGGCTGCTTGTAAAGATTGATAGACAACTGATCTAACCTAGTTATCTTGAGCTCTACATGATACTACCTAACCCGTGTGTTAGCGGGTTGCTTATGTGGGTACCGTCATATCACAAGGGCAAGCAGTGCCAGACCCTCGCTAATTTCCAGGTGCTCTGTGGGCCTTTCGATTTCGGGGACAACGAACCCCTCAAGTCCGGTTTAGGGTCTTGGGTTTAAACTTAGGGTTCGGTTTATTTGGGTTTAAACTTAAGTAGGGTTCGGTTTATTTGGGTTTTAACTTAAGTAGGGTTCGGTTTATTTAGGTTTAAACTTCGGAGTTCGGTTTATTTGGGTTTAAACTTCGGGGTTCGGTTCAGGGAAGGGAATCCTCAACCGCTTCACCCCTACCCCGAAGCCCGGAAGTTGGTGCGCAGGGCCCGACGGCGTTTTAACCTGTACGAAGACCGGGGCCTCGTTGTGCTTGTCGTTCGCTTTTTTTTGGGGTTAGCCACTTTTCATGGTCAGGACTTTATGGCTATGATACATATATACATATATATATATATATATGTGTGTGTGTGTTATATATATATATATGTTATATATATATGTAGTATATATACATATATGTAATATGTATGTAATATAAATATAAATATATAAATAAATAAATAAATAAATATATATATATATATATATATGCAAAGGGCCCGAATTGCCCCCGACAGCTGGGGGAAGATCGTAGAGCCCCAGAACCGCAGCCATGACCCCACGGGGTAGGCGGTTCGCCAAACAACAGCTGCCAAATGGAGATGGCAACGATTATGACACTGGCTTGCACAAGCTTCCTTGCCCCACACCACTGCTGCAGATGAATGCTGGCAGATGTACGATGATCGTGATCTTCCTGCGCTGCTGGCATCTCGGCGGCACGGTGGATCCCCATCCAACGGTCGATGAGCCTTTGCAGAAGGCCCGTCACATTGTCCTCAACCCGGACAACCCTCTGGAACGGCTGAAGTACGTCGGTACGGAGCTCACGTCCATGGGGCGCTACCAGCAAAACACCAGCGCCCGATTCCTGGACGCCATTACGGTGCTACATGGCAGTGCGAGTGGCAATGCAGAGGAGCTGGCGAAAAGTCTGATGCGAGACCTCACTGCACTTGGACTGCAATCCATCGTGAGAACGTTGGATGACTTCGTCCAGAAGACTGTCATCTTGGTGGCGTCCACGTGCGGGCTGGGCGCATATCCGGCCAGCTGCAAGCAGACCCGGCTGAAGCTCCAGTCTCCAGATGTGCCATGGCTTGGGCTGGCAAATTGGAAGTTTAGCGTTTTCGGCCCGGGCGACTCCACTTACTGCCAGTTCTGCGTGGCCTCTGCAGGCTTCTGCTGGGCGCCGACTTTGCCGCTGGGCCAGGACATTTCTGCGCCTTCCTATCGCGTGAATGCATCACCATGCGGCTTGGCAAAGTCGCCATCAGCGATGTTGACATCATCTACCCGTTGCCAAAAGACTCGCGCTACAACATGCTGACAGGTGACGGTAAGTACGATCGTGACATGCGGCATTATGAGTTCAAGATTGAGGGCACTAACGTTGCTCACAAGACAGGCGAGCGCCTTAAAGACAAGGCCCTGGTGT